AACCTGTCCAAAGCGCTGTCCGCATCTCCCTGTTAAATATAACCCACAAAGACTTCAATTTTCATGTTGACCGCAAAACCTATACCCATCCATAATCTACGTTCTTAGTCACTTATTGAAAATATGTGTGTGCGTGTCTATATATGTGTACATATATATATATATATAGAGAGAGAGAGAGAGAGAGAGAGATCTACTAAATACAAATTAATAGTTGGAACTTGATAAATCTTATTTTAAATTCATTTAATGAATAAATTTCGCAAGTAAAGTTTTGAATTGGATTTTTTTTATTGCTCTTGAAAATTTGAAAATTTCGTGAAGTGACTAAAAACTAAAACTTTCCTCACAAACTACTCTAATAGAACTCGCTTAAAAAACAAAACTAATGCTATGACATATAAAAATGTAATTCAAAACTTTACAAAGGATATTTGTTAATTAAATGAGTTTCATGACGTGACTAAAAACTACAACATTCCTCACCAACTACTCCAAAAGAACTCAGATACCAAAAAATCAATGCAATGTCAAATACAAAAATCCAATAAAGAAAAAATCAAGATATTTTATTCAAAAGCTCCAATCAAAGAGACAATGGGATGCCGCTGAGCATCCAAAAGTAAAATCCAACTTGACATTCAAATATAAAGGCACATTAAAGACAAAGAAGCATGGCTGAACACGTGGACGCCAAGCATTAAAAGACGTAAAACTTCAATATAAACCGCTTTATAACAAAACTCTTACCATATACATACATACATATTTCATCATTCTTATGAAAACTCATTATTTTTAGACATAAAATTATCCTTATACATTTTGATATGAAAGACGACAGTTGAGAGGTAGCAAAACCTGTAAAGTTATACAAATCTCTTTGAAGAATCAAATCCAACCAAATGTTGATAATAATGCATGTTTACACATATCCAACAAATATGAACATGTTGGTTTCAAAAGTTCATTCAAAAAGTTCTCAACTTTCAAAAGTAGAAAACTAAAAATTTAACTACTAATATATTTTTTGATGTGTTCAACAAAGATATACAATAATTAGCAACTCGACAAATATTTCAGCCTAACCTATGGGAGAAAAAACATGGTTAATAGATCTACAAAAAAAAAGTCATATTTTCCAACTAGCCTGCGAGCATATATGATTATAGCTAGTTACCTATATATCTATGATAATCGCGAAAAAATTCCAAGACAGTAAATACTATCAAAAGAAAAAAAAATTAAAAATCGACAAGTGCAGAAGATTCCATGAAATCATTCACAACAATTCAAGAAGGTATACAGACAGAAATTCAAATAAGAAAAGGCTTTCTATGTCGGTGAAGCAGCCACTACATAATCAAAAGTTACGTAATTAACAGCAAGCTTAATCCTATGACCGAATTCTAAAATAAACAAAGAAAAATTAGTAAGGAACAAAATGTGTTGTCTAAAAGCTCTAAATGAATCAGAGAAAACCTATAAGATTCAATCTAAATAATGCCGATTAACAACATTTCAGACAGGTAAATAAACGAAAAGTACGACCATAGAGAAAGCAATTCAAATACGAAAATGCTTTTAACTCGGTGAAGCAGCCACTAAATATCCTAATCTACCGTACTATACAACCAGAAATCACACGAAAAGAAGAAGAATAAACGTGCAGCCAACTTTTATATTATAGACAAACGAAAAAATATTTACGGAAATTATTATTGAAATCGAACCTGAGCACGGATGTAACCGCAGAGTGCGAAAGTGGAGAACTGGCCAGTGTAGATGCCATTCTCATCTAAGTGACCGACGTTAATCTGAACCGAGGCATGGTCCTTTGAAGTGATAAGTCTGTTTGTCGCAGAGCTGAAATCAGATGCAACAACGAGGTTCTGAAAAAGTTAGAAACCAAAATGCAAATAGTAGAAAATGAAAATGAATACAACATAAGAGTTCAGACAACGCTACTCACCACTTCCTAGGAATGTAAAGCTCGGTGATCTTTCCCTCTTCGTTCTGCATTTTGGCTTCGGCGACTTAATTTGAACTAGAGATAAACCTGCGTAAGTAAAGAAACGACGCATTGAGACGCTGAATATATATAATCCATTTGTGAATGAACGAACGTTTAAACTAGAAGCGTGAAAAACTACGAAAGTAAACTACGAACGTTTAAATCAATCGAAAGTAAACTAAAACAAGAAAATAAGGACATTCAGTATCCGATTTACATGTACTCGTTAAAATTTAAATGAAGACAATAGGAAGTAGAGAAACTGCTGTTTGATGATTAGAAACTTGAAGCGTGAAGAACTACGAACAAAAAACAAGAAGAAAAAAGGAATTATAGATTCGAGAAGGATAGATGGCGAGAAGAGAGAAAATACCTGTCGGCCAACTGCTGTGGGAGGGAAAATTCGGAGGAGAGGAAATACGGTGAAATGCTCGCTTAAACCCTAGCGGCTTTATATATGAGCCTTTTTGTGGGCCTGCTTAGGCGGCCCAATACTGTTGAGTTCTATGTTGTTTTGCGAAGGAGGCATCTTAGTTGGGCCGTGACGGGCCATCAAGAGTTTAGAGGTGATTTAACAATTAAAATCTTCTTTTTCGTATTAAAAATCATTTTTTAAAAAACATATTTTTAATTATTTAAAATCATTTTTATGGCACGAAAAATTGCTTTCATAATTGTGAAATTGTAACGCCCCTTGAGGAGAAGGTTTCCACACCCATATAAATTGTGGTTTGTTCTCCTCTCCAACCAATGTGATACATCACAATTCACCCCCCTTCGGGGCTCAACGTCCTCGTTGGCACTCTTTCCTTCCTCCCATCGATGTGGGACTGCCCCCAAATCCACCCTCTTTAAGGCCCAGTGTTCTTACTGGGCACACCACCTCGTGTCTACCCCCCTCTTCAGGGAACAACGAGAAGGCTGTGGCACATAGTCCGATGTCTAGCTCTGATACCATTTGTAACGCCCTAGATCCACTATTTCAACATTTATTTCAATTATAGATTATGGTATATTTTTTTTTATATACAATGCTACAATATTTTAAATATCATTAATTTTACATATTGTTTTAAAATATATTCATATTCTTTTAAAAATTCGTATATTACATAGACATTTACTAAATATTAAAATATTAATTCAACACGTGTTACGCAAGCATCTTAATCACTCCAATGTAATTTCATGTTATCATTTTTTCGTCCAATATTGCAAATATTTTTATTATAGGACTAGTTTTTAAATATTTGTAAAAATTAGGATAATATTGTAACTTTATCTATAATATATATATTTTTTATTATAATTTTAGTAATTAATTTTTTCTAAATGTATACACGTCGACTCAGCACATTGCTCACGCATACAGCCGGGAATGCAAGTTTTCCTTATTAATTACCACACCTTTTGCTGACGTTTGACACCACAAAACTTCTTAAATTACCACGCGCTTACTCCACCTTTTGCAAATTTTCCATTTATTATTACCATTTTTCTTTTTCGTCGGCCAATTTTTCCTTAAATATCATTACAAATAAAAAAAATGACGTAAAAAGTACAGCGAATTAGGCTTGAACACGTGTCCTACATTCCCAGAAAAATTGGACCCACTTGCACCTGATTGCCTCTCCCTGTCACGATTTGCTGTCCTCTTAACTGGCATTACTATCCATACGCGAAACAGATCATTATTTTTCGCAATTTTTATTTTTGTTTGATCATAATTCTTTGCTGCATTTAAAAAAAAATAATAATTTGGAGTTTCATACTTAACTCAAATGCTAAATCGTATTTTTAATTTTAATTTTTAAAATTTAATTAAATTATAAAATTGAAATCTAAAAACTATAATTTATTGTAAAAGTTGAATTTTTTTTTTTTTTTATCAAACCACACAAACTATTTAAAAAGCATAAAAAAAATATAAGGACAAACTTTTAACATTTAAAAACAACATACCAAATTTGTATTTTATCATTTATTATTTTAATAATCTTTATTTAAATTCATATTTCTTCAATAAAATATTTAATTTTTCGTGTAAAATTACTCCCTGGTTTAAGTTGTATTTGCATTTTTTTTATTAAAATAATAATAATTTCTAAAATTTAATGTCCGAATTATATTATATAATAATTCAGTAATTATAATTCAACATCTATAAATATTTAATATATACGGTGTAAACTTTTTTAAATATTGATTAAAGTTTAAAGCTAATATGAGATTAGTGCCATACTCACATATTGTTTTTTGAAAAATGAAGAAAAATAAAATTAATATTTTATTAAACAATATATTTACTAAAGGTACGTTCATAAATATTCGAGATTTAAATTTTATAAACATAATTAAAAACAAATTACAAGTTAAGAAATTCATTTTTTTTTCGTGTTTTTATAAGATAAATTCATGTTCTTGAAGTTGTTCCTCTATATATATACATATACAATTTCATTTAATTTTTTATATTTTCATATATATATATATTGTAATGTCTCAGATCCACCATTAGCAGATATTGTCTTTTTTGGACTTTCCCTTTCCGACTTTAGGCTTTCTAGAGGAAGTTTTTCACACTCTTCTAAATTGTTGTTTGTTCTCCTCTCCAACCCAACTAATGTGGAACATCACTTTACTTAATAGACGCGTTTTGAAGAATACTAATATTTTGGTTTAAAAATTTATTAAAAAAAGTGGTTGTTTTATTTATTTTATTGGATGATTTTCGGCTGTGGCCGGCCACAATTATTATTTATTATTATTATTTTAATAGGCAGCCAACAATTGCAAGGCAAATTTAAGGCGAAGAGCCTAATTATTAGTGGGTCGCAATAAACTTCTTCACATTCACAAAAAGGAAAAAAACAGAAAATTAAAGGCGAAAAGCGTGTGAAGGTTAAGTGGTAATATCGTAATTAACAGACAAAGCGGGGGTATTTCTCTACGAGCCTTCACATTATATTCACGCAACCACTCTCGCTTCGCTCCTCTCGAAACCAACAGAGCCTCCAAATGGAAATCTCACGCGTTTTTTCCTTCCTCGCGGCCTCCGCCATTATCGCCGCTCACTTTCTGCTCTCATCGGCGATGGCCGTCGATTTCTCCGGCGGTGACAAACTCCTCTTCGTCCCGGCGGAATCCAAGTGCAGAGGCTCTATCGCTGAATGCTTTCTCGCCGGAGATGACAATGATTCCGCCTTCGGAATGGAGTTCGAGATGGACTCCGAGATCAATCGCCGAATTCTAGCGTCTTCTCGCTACCTGAGCTATGGCGCTTTGAAAAGGAACAGCGTTCCTTGCTCTCGCCGAGGTGCTTCTTACTACAACTGCCAGCCTGGCGCTCAGGCCAATCCTTACAGACGCGGTTGCAACGCCATTACTCGCTGCCGGAGTTAATTTCTTACCAAAATCTTTTTTGGATTTAGAATCATCGTCGTATTCTACCGGTTAGTTCTTCGTGTGTTTATACTGAATATACATGTCGATTTGAGTAATAAGATCCATACAGAGGATTGCAAATGTAGTTTACATCAGCTTCTCTGAGTCGTCTATGAGTTTTTTTGCGCTGATTCTGTTTTATCCAGAGATAACTGTTCTTGTTTGCAATTGGTAATACAGTGGTAGGAAGAAACACAGTATTTCTGTAAATTTCTGGTGGATCTTGCTGAATCTGCAGGGGCCATCATCTGAGTTCTTTATTTGTTCATGATCATTTATTCATTATAAATCATATTCTATTCGTTTATTTCATTTATTTTGTTTTGTTGAATTGTTGTGATGCAGATTTTTTTCTTCTTACATTATTGTTATTATTGAATCTGGAAACAATGTTCTAACTTACCAAAAATGATCAATTATTTTAATTTTATGTTTTAAAAAATTACATATTCCTTGATCACCAAGTTCTTTGTTGCTTTTATAAAAGAAAGAACAAACTGTTTATCAAAGCATCATTATTATTTCCATGAGTTTACTCAAGCAAATAAATTAAAAAAAAAAAAAACTCTAAAATCTAATTTTATTTATAAAATATTAAACTAATTTTTTGTTTGTAAGAAAATAAAAAGTACAAGCGAAAATCTAAGCATGTGAACGTTGGACGAAGACTGATTAACAAGCAGGCAACATAATCAAAGCTACTGAGTTAGCGTCACATGGCTGTCACTGAAGGCCCTTAGCCTTTTTGCTGCTCGGTCATTAAGCGGGTTATACATATCACTGTCATTTTATCGTCCGTCAATGTTTTGCTGGTCCACTACCACATCGTTGTGGGACCCACTTCATGGTTTTCTTGCTTTTGCAAATAAAGACCTTTTTTTTTTTTTTTAAATTTTAAATTTGAATTCGCCCGTTTGAATTGTTGCATGCCGTTTTGCATTTTTCCACCTTTTGTGCATTGGAATTAGATAAAGTGGAGTCAAAAGCTTAGAAATCAAACTAAATAATAAAGATAAAATTAAAATAATATATTCCTTAAACTCTTCAAATTAAAAAAAAGAGTTAATTTCCATTATTTTAATGTTTAAATTAAAACAAAAAATCAAATATTTTTTATTATTTAATTTGTGCAGGTGAAAATTGAAAATTATTATTACTTTTATTTTAAATAATATTCAAAATCACAACTAATTTCCTACTTTTGAATGATGGACATGTGGCGAAATATTAGAGTATCAAGAGGTCAAAGCAATTTTACAAGCTAATTGATTAAGTGGCGGTCCAGTGCATGCTTTGCTATTGGTCACTGATAAATAAAAACGTTCTGGAAAATTACAGCGTGTGGGGTCCACTATATTAGGCGCCGATGTGTCGTTTTGTTTCGCTTCCTCGAAGAATCTCGCCACGCATAACGTATCGATGATTGTCGTTTCATTGACGCCCATTTAAACTCCCCCGCTAATTGTCGAATCTCATTTTATAGTTCCTTTTTTTTTACCGTAATATTCGAATATTCGAAAGAATATTGCAAAAAACTAATTAAATTTCTTATGTATATTAAACAAAAAAAAGAAAATTACAATACATGTTGAATGGTTATGGATCTTAAAATATAAATATTAAGTTTTTTATATTAAATTATTAAAAAAAATATATTAATACATATTACTAAATGATAATTGAATTTTTCATTATACACTTATTGAATTAAAAAAATATAAATCAACGACATCTGGAGAGCAACAATTCTGACATTAAGGTTGACATTTGAATTTGAATTTTTGGTCAAACTCACTCACTCAATGAATTTTTGGACTTACCTCTAATTTGGGTCCAATGATCAACGAGTCTTGGAATGGACTAATATTTTAGGATTAAATTATTACGATGAAGACACGTGGCACTCTACGAGAAAATCTATCTAATCTTCCAAATCTGGGTAGGACCCACAAAAGCACTAGATTCTATCTCTGATCGACACGTGGTTCCTGAATCTAAAATATCGATGGCATACAATCCAAACATACGTCTCAGCGTTCCACATTGAAGCAAAACCCAGAAGCACGTGACCACTCATTTTTTTTCGATGGCACGTGACCACTAAATTTAGTTTTTATTTGCTTTTTGAAATTTAAAAAACGATGAATTTACTCTTGAGTTTAATTTCTAATTATTCATTAAAATTTTTTGATATTTGAAATTAATTTAATTAATATAGATTACTGCGTGTCGTCATTTTATTAAGTGAATTAGTATCAATTTTAGTAAGAAATTAATTAGAAATCTAATTTAAATTACAAAAAGGGTTAATTTAATAAAATGGAATTAAATCTGGAACCGTATTAAGAAAAACTCTCTTCGTACGGCACACACGCAAGAGTATAAAAGCCGAACTTCAGAGTTTTAATGCCACTCAGTTCTCTCTTTCTCTCTGCCGGGCGGCTGTTCCTGCAAAATTTTCAAGAACCTTTTCGTATCCTTCTCAGAAACCCTAATTCTACTCCGTACGGCTTTCGCTACTGAAACTTCGACTCTGTATTTTCCATTTTTTTTTTGGAGTGGAGGCAAATTTTCGGCTTCAGGTTTTGCATTAATGGAGGGCTCTTTAGGGCAAAAGCATGAGCATCATGAGTTCACTTTGGTTTCGATTTCTAAGCTTCCTTCTTCGACTTCGACGTCTTCTTCGTCCACTTCGTCGACGCCGGTGGTTGCTCGATTCGGAGGCGAGTCCGGCGCGGCGGAGCTTCGGTTCCGTCAGGAGGCCGATTCCGATGACTTAGCGTTCGATCTTCGGACTTCTCAGGTTCTGTTTTATTTGTAATGAGTTTGCCTTTTTGTGTATGGGAGAGTTTAGATGCAACGAAGAAGAGAGATACGAGAGAGTTATTTTATTTTATTTTATTACCATTTTGCACTATTTATTTACTAGAAAAGTGAGTGCTTAGTAAGAACTCTTGGTTTGCTTCACGAGGGAGATTATCAACCTACATTTACCATTCTTATGACCATGGAGTGTTATAAAGTGTGCTTAAAAAAAATTATATATACCACAATCTAAGCATCTAGAAGTTAAGTTCAATGATGATTTACTATGGTATCAAATCACGGGAAAGTGTGTTCAACTCTTGCACTGTCATATTTTCCGAATTGATCAATTTTTTTCGTGTTGGATTCGAAATTAACATTCTACTTCATTGAGAGGAGTGTTAAGAATATATAAATATATACTTTAGTATATCAGGAACTTGTTGGCATGAGTTTTTCAGTTCAGCAGTGACTTAATAGCAAGCGAGTTATTTGGAGAATATTATATGATTAATTGACATGTATTTTATGTCTTCAGATATTTCGGTTAGGCTCTGTTCAGTCAGTGTGCATATCCAAAGACGATGCCAGTAAAGAGGTAAGAATGGTAGTTTTTTGCTAATAATGTCAAACTACGAATTTGCACATTGCGATGGTGATTTACTATCTCTACAAATTAGCTAGTTGAAGAACGAATGGTCGTTACTTGTGATGTTGAATAGTTTCACTGTTAAAACAGAAATCACATTCCAGAGGAGTTACCATTCAATTTAGGAACGAGGAAGAGAGCAGTGCATTTCATTCTGCTTTTGATAAGAGGAAGGAGGATGATATTGTCCAAGGTAGCGATCTTTAGTTCTCCCAAAATGTTGCTTCTCTTGATGTAAAAACTTGTTGATGTTTTTATTGTTTATGGTTTTCTCAAGTTATTCTTTTTCTACATCCAGGCACCCATTTACCAAATGGCACCATTTCTTCCTTGAAAAGCAAGTTTGATGATAAAATAGAATCATCTTCCGCTAAGATGTACTTCCACTACTATGGGCAACTTTTACATCAGCAAAATATGATGCAGGATTATGTGAGGACAGGTTATATAATTTATCTGTTGCCTTATCTTGCAATTTTATTTTATAGATTTATTTGTGAATTTCCAATTCAACCATCTTATTATGTTTGTAGTGCTAAACACTGGTGTATGTGTTACCTGCCCATGCAGTAATGTTTAAATATCTTAACTGAGTTACATAGTATGTAACTTTGGTGGTTTTGTGCTGTTTCAGGAACATATTACGCAGCTGTGATGGAAAATCGTGCTGACTTCACAGGTCGTGTGGTCGTCGATGTCGGTGCTGGTAGTGGTATTTTGTCTTTATTTGCTGCTCAGGTACTCTTGGTTACATCTGATGTATATTTCTTTAATTAGTTATTACTCCTTTATGTATTCACTTCAACTGTTCTGTAACTGAATTTGAGATCTTATGCTTTCATTCTTCAACAGGCCGGTGCAAAACATGTTTATGCTGTGGAAGCATCTGAAATGGCTGAGTATGCTCGTGTGTTAATTGCTGGGAACCCTGCCTTGAGTCAACGAATCACTGTAATTCTTTTAAAAATCATATTATTTTCACTCCTTGGAAGTATCGCTATCTGTCTATATTTACTTCTCTGGTAATGCAATGTAATTTGAAATTCAGGTGATTAAAGGCAAAGTCGAGGATGTTGAATTGCCCGAGAAAGCAGACATTTTAATCTCAGAGCCAATGGGTGAGAGCCATTGTCAATTTGTAGTACATTTTCAGATTATCCTGGAAGATTGTGCAATTTTGGACGATCCTAAAACTTTTAGCTATATACACCATTTTATATGTAAACACTCCTGGATGAGCTGTAATTGAATATTTAAAAGGTATAACACCCAAATGAAAAGAAATTGAAAGTTAATAATGACTTTCTGTTTCCCTAGATCTCAAAAACAAGTGCAATTCAGCCCCATTCCTCATTTTCCTTCTTTGCTGTTAGGCACCCTATTGGTCAATGAAAGAATGCTGGAATCTTATGTGATTGCCCGGGATCGTTTTTTGCACCAAAATGGAAAGATGTTCCCAACTATAGGGAGGTAAATAGATAGTGGAAAATTTTTCGTCAGGTGCCTTTCTTGTCTTTCGTGTTTGGGGTGTAAAGATAGTAATTCAAATTTCTCATCTGCATTTTAAAGAAGATGGTTTTAAATTTGTATATGACGTTTTGATACCAATACTTGACGAGTTCCACTTGTAGTTCATTTTATTATCATGGTTTATTGAATTTCATCTTCACGTTCTTAATTTCTTTAATTTGAATTGCTAGTGAATCATTTGTAAATAATCTTGTGTTCTTATGAGTTAAGATGTTCTCCATGTAGGATTCACATGGCACCTTTCAGCGATGAATATCTATTTGTTGAAGTAGCTAATAAGGTAAGACTTTTAATCAATTTTCTCAGTGCTAAATTACAGTTTCTGC